GCCGACAGGAGCACCAGAGAAGCGGCGGAGGAGAGCAGCGAAGCAGCGGGGAGCAGCACGGGGGAGCAGCGGCGCAGAGCAGCAGAGCAGAGGAGACGGGAGGACGCCTTCAGGGCCGAACTCGGCCCTGAAAGGCCCGAAACGGCCGCGCATGGCACGCGGGGCGCGAAGCCTGCAAGTCGGAGCCCGTCTCGCCCCCCTCCCCCCGAGTGCGCCATGTGCGAGGGCAGCGAACGCGGGAAGCAGCGGCGGAGCTCTTCCAAAAGCTGCACGCAGGATGGGGCATCCACGGATTCATCTTGCTGGGCCTGTCGCCAGGATAATGTGTTTGATTGTTTTTCCCAACCAACCTGTGTTGTTGGGCCTTCGTTTTGAAGAGACGGTCCCCGCGTTTCCTCCTCATCCTCATCCTCATCATCCTCCTCCCTCCTCTCCTCCTCTCTCGCTTCGTGGTCCCATAGGGGGTCCACCTAAAGCCCCAGTGGTGTGTACCACATGCGTCTCGCCCACCCAGTACAACGTTTCATGGCCCCATAGGGAGGCCCACCGAAGGCCCCAGCGCTGTGTACCACATGCGTCCCCCCCCACCCAGTACAACGCTTCGCGGCCCCATAGGGAGGTCCACCTAAGGCCCCAGTGGTGTGGTGTACCACATGCGTCTCCCCCACCCAATACAACGTTTCGTGGCCCCATGGGGAGGTCCACCTAAAGCCCCAGTGGTGTGTACCACATGCGTCTCCCCCACCCAGTACAACGCGTCGTGGCACCATAGGGGGGTCCATCTAAGGCCCCTGTGGTGTGTACTACATGCGCCTCCCCCACCCAGTACAGCGCTTCGTGGCCCCATAGGGAGGTCAACCTAAGGCCCCAGTGGTGTGTACCACATGCGTTTCCCCCCACCCAATACAGCGCTTCGTGGCCCCATAGGGGTTCCGCCGAAGGCCCCCGTGGCGCAATCCGCATGCGCCTCCCTCACCCACTACAACGCTTCGTGGCCCCATGTGGAGCCCCACCGAAGGTCCCCGTGGCGCAGTCCGCATGCGTCTCCCCCACCCAGTACAGCGCTTCGTGGCCCCATATGGAACCCCACCGAAGGTCCCCGTGGCGCAGTCCGCATGCGACTCCCCCACTCACTACAGCGCTTCGTGGCCCCATATGGGGCTCCGCCGAAGGTCCCCGTGGCGCAGTCCGCATGCGTCTCCCCCACCCAGTGCAGCGCTTCGTGGCCCCATAGGGGCTTCGCCGAAAGTCCCCGTGGCGCAGTCCGCACGCGTCTCCCTCACGCAGTCCAGCGCTTCGCGGCCCCATATGGAGACCCACCGAAGGTCCCCGTGGCGCAGTCCGCATGCGTCTCCCCCCCACCCAGTACAGCGCTTCGTGGCCCCATAAGGGGCTCCGCCGAAAGTCCCCGTGGCGCAGTCCACATGCGTCCCCCCCGCCCAGTACAGCGCTTCGTGGCCCCATATGGAGCGAAGGTCCCCGTGGCGCACTCCGCCTGCGCCTCCCTCACCCACTACAACGCTTCGTGGCCCCATGTGGAGCCCTACCGAAGGTCCCCGTGGCGCAGTCCGCATGCGACTCCCCCACCCAGTACAACGCTTCGCGGCCCCATATGGAGACCCACCGAAGGTCCCCGTGGCGCAGTCCGCATGCGACTCCCCCACCCACTACAGCGCTTCGTGGCCCCATATGGGGCTCCGCCGAAGGTCCCCGTGGCGCAGTCCGCATGCGGTTCCCCCGCCCAGTACAACGCTTCGTGGCCCCATAGGGGCTCTGCCGAAGGTCCCCGTGGCGCAGTCCGCATGCGTCTCCCTCACCCAGTACAGCGTCTCGTGGCCCCATATGGAGCCCCACCGAAGGTCCCCGTGGCGCAGTCCGCATGCGTCTCCCCCCACCCAGTACAGCGCTTCGTGGCCCCATTAGGGGCTCCGCCGAATATCCCCGTGGCGCAGTCCGCATGCGTCTCCCCCACCCAGCACAGCGCTTCGTGGCCCCATATGGAGCGAAGGTCCCCGTGGCGCACTCCGCATGCGTCTCCCCCACCCAGTACAACGTTTCGTGGCCCCATATGTTGCCCCTCCGCAGGTCCCCATGGCGCAGCCCGCATGCGTCTCCCCCACCCAGCACAGCGTTGCGTAGCCCCATACGGGCTCCGCCGAAGGTCCCCGCGGCGCAGTCCGCATGCGTCTCCCCCACCCAGTACATCGCTTCGTGGCCCCATAGGAGCTCCACCGAAGGTCCCCGTGGCGCAGTCCGCATGTGGTTCCCCCGCCCAGTACAGCGCGTCGTGGCCCCATATGGAGCCCCACAGAAGATCCCCGTGGCGCAGTCCGCATGCGCCTCCCCCACCAAGTGCACCTCCGCCGGAAGCCGTCGGAGTTCCGCGCCTCGCTCGCCCGTCGTCGCTCTTCCCAACGACAAGAGCCTTGCCCTGCATGAGCCAGCCAGCTCGCTCTTTGCTCCGCGCAGCGGGAACCCGCGCGCATCGCTGGGACCCCTCTGTGGCGACCTGGGCGCGTCGCGGGGACTCCGCGCTGCGCGGCACCCGCAGCCTTGGACTTTTTAAGTGCGCGGGCAAAGAGGGGGTAAAAGAGGGGGAGGAAGCGGGCGCGATGCTCTCGAGGGGCGCGCCGACATTGGCGTCGCGGCGCGCGGGCGATGCCGTCGGGGAGTCCCGGGGAAGCTCCTTGCGGCGGCCACGCCCAGCGTCACGAGTACTCAGAGGCAGTCATTCTCAAACTATTGACATTCATATCCAAATACACCATGCTTTGCCATACTCGCATTCATGCACGTAGACTCGCTCGCACGCAGATTCATTCACAGTCAGACGCACTCGCGCTCAGACTCACCCGCGCTCAGTCCCCCCACGTACTCAGATCAATCGTTTTCGTTCGCGTTGTGTATCACGCCACTCATTTCGGCACACCCCCAGCACGGTTCGTTGCCTCATAGGGATCACCACCGAAAGAGTGAATCACAATTGCGGTACTCACACCTGCATGTGGTTGGGTCCTTCGTCCGGCGAATGTTGTTATCTCTCTCTCTCTCTTTCTAGATATTGGGGTGGGTACCCATGGGGCGATGGGGGGAGCTTGCAGAGACACTGGGGCGCGGAGTGGGGCAAAGACGAGAACCAGAACAACGAGGATCAGGAATCTTTTTCTCGCACCTGTCAAGGAGGAGGCGTCCAAATGACGCCGTGGCAATCCTCGCGGCACCATGGTGTTAGACACCCCTAAATAAGCTATTTGTGAAACGCAGTCTGCTTACGCCCGAGAGTGTCAGAGGCCAAACGCCTGCAGACAGCGTTCATGGCGTGCTTGCGCTGAAAGAACCACAATGGCTTGTGTTTGCGCTGCCGCGGGGGTCTTCTCTCTTGTGCTCTCAGCAGAAGGTGCCGGGGATGCGGCGGCCAGCACTGCACATGCGCTCCTGCCTTGGGCTGCCGTTCGCTGGATATTGCCGCGTGAACAGGCGCTGCTACCCTGGTTTGCAGCGCCACGCAGCTAAATACCCCATCAGTATTTCTCCCACACGGCACTTGAACGAGAGATGGACATGCTTGGTTCGCGCATGAAGTCTCTGTCCTGAGCCCTGACTCGTGAGTCCGCTCCAATGCGAGGTAGAGCTTGCAGCGCAAATCGGGATTGCTGACGGAAGAACGGTCCCCACCGCCGAGCAAACCGCCGACTGGATACCCCGACTTACCCAAGTTCTTGACGAACAGATTCAGGTAGAAAATGCCTCCGCCAGTACGGCCCCATACGGTCTTCAATTGAATACTGTGGAAGCTCATCCAGCCCGTTCCCTTACGATGGGCCTGCGGCTGCTTGGCCGTGAAATGGAAGCCGCCCTCGCGCACGTCGTCCGCCCACTTGCCGGTCACATTAATGGACACGAAGTAAACGTCCGAGCACGCGTCGCCACAACGCTGTGCCACGGCCGCGACGGCCAGGAGCGTCGCGCTCTCCGCTGCAAACTGCGGGACCTCGACCAGCAAGTGTCTGCCGTCCTTGAAGAGATCAAACCGCTCCCCGTGTATATTTTCCAGGCGGGGATCCCCGACTGCAGCAGCGACCGCTGCAGGCGCACGGGCTGGCGTAGGGGCAGGCGTCGGCGCCTTCTTGGGAAATCTGGACGGTCTTTGAAGCCCACAGGTATTTGGAGAACTGCGAGGCATGGAAACATTTGCAAGGATCTCAAGTAGCCGATGGGAAACGGCAACGCTGAGGATATCGATGGTATTGATGCGGGGCGCGGGCGCGGCGCGCGCTCTTGCAATCGACAGGAGACGAGGTGGTGGGTGACAAAACAAACAGCAAGAGGGCGAGGCAAGGGCAACGCGGGGAGCGGGCAAGGGCCATGCGCCAGGGCGAGAATGAGAACGACGCAGAGATGACAATAAGGGCGCCTGACTACTCGCAAGGGCGACAGCGAAGGTCATTTCCAGGATTAGCCGGAAGGACTTTCATGCGGGGTCCTTCCGTCGAGAATTTGTTTCTGGACACCCCGCGCAGGAACACACAGGAGCACACACTAATTCACACTCACATGCACTCACACGCAGACCGTCTTGATCAAATCTCGACGGAAGATTTGCATAATTTGGGTCGGTTGAAAATTATTTTCTCGAGATCCAACAACTCGTTAGAGCTCTACTATTTGTTCCCCCCATATTTGATCTTATCCCGCTCGCCATCTTGATCTCAGGTCGATCGGGTGGATATTACGATCAAAAAGCACGTGGGCGGGATCGGGTGTTGATTTCCTCAACTGATCTCGAGCTTTAGAGAAGCTACAGAGCTCTTCGGCACACCGATCGACAGGAAATGCTGAGGAGCGCTAGTCTCAAGTAGCTAGACGCCTGAGATCGGTCCGCTACCAGAGCTGCGACCGAAAAACTATTTCCCCTCTGTATTTCCCTAACAGCTCTTGCTGATAGGTTTCTAGTGGTCTCAAAAGAGAGCATCATGACTCCTCAGGGGGGTCTGGGCGGGACCCGGACAGGCTGCCGCCGAAGCTGCCGCCGAAGCCGAAATCGCTTGGGACATCCTCGCAAAATCGCTCTTGGTGCTCCCAGAACTCCATTCCCGGGCCACATTTTGGATGCCCGGAGCCAACTGTAGGCCACTTCGTGCTCTTCGATTTCCCAGAACTCCATTCCCGGCCACATTTTGGATGCCCGGAGCCAACTGTAGGCCACTTCGTGCTCTTCGATTTCCCAGAACTCCATTCCCGGGCCACATTTTGGATGCCCGGAGCCAACTGTAGGCCACTTCGTGCTCTTCAAGTTCCCAGAACTCCATTCCTGGGCATGATTTTGAATGCCCGGAGCCAACTGTAGGCCACTTCGTGTTCTTCTAGTTCCCAGAACTCCATTCCTGGGCCACATTTGGAATGCTGAGGCAGGCTGATGCTGCGGCCGAGGCAGGCTGAGGCTGAGGCAGGCTGAGGCTGAGGCCGAGGCTGAAGGCAGACTGAGGCTGAGGCTGAAGCTGAGGCTGAGGCTGAGGCTGAGCTGAGGCAGGCTGAGGCTGAGGCTGAGGCTGATGAGGCTGAGGCTGAGGCTGAGGCAGGCTGAGGCTGAGGCTGAGGCTGAGGCAGGCTGAGGCTGAGGCTGTGAGGCTGAGGCTGACTGCCGTGCCGCTGCGACTGTCATCGCGAATGCGACTACGACTGCGAGAACAGCAGAATTCTACAACTGGATTTTCATCTGAATCTTAAGGGGAATGCTTTCAGATATGCTTCTACACATCGCTGTTAGGTTGCTTTGCCGGGATAATGTTTGAACGCCGATGTTGGGCTTCTCTACTTACTTCGAGCTGTACGCAAGCTTCGGAGCTGGGAAGCACACCATTGAAAAGAAAATGATCAGGAACATCCGCCCACAGCATCGAGACGCCTGAGATCGGCCTCCTAATAGAGCTGCGACTGAAAATTACATTCCCACTCCTCAAATGTTGAGAGATGAAGGTTTGATGTACCTGCTTAATCGAGCTGTAGACCAGCTACGGATCTGGGAAGGACACCAATCGACAGAAAATTATCAGCAGCGCCAGTCTAAAATATCTGGACGCCTGAGATGCTACCAGAGCTGCGACTGGAAATCTTATTCCCACTCTGCAATGTTTAGAGATGATGGTTTGTCTTCTCTACTTGATCGAGCTGTTGGTCTGCTACCAGAGCTGCGACCAGATGGCAAGGAAGCTCTACAAGTTCCCGGCGGTAACCAAGGTTGACGGTTTACCGCCGGCTTCCAGTCGACGGTGGCCGTCTTGGAACCCTCTTGGGGGCCTATTGGGCCGTCTTGGGGCGGTTTTAAGGGCTTCTTGGGCCGTCTTGGAGCATCGGAAGCACAAAACGTGATCGACCCACGAACCCGGAAAGGAATATAGAAATGTAAGGCATGACAACGTTTGAAAGACACCTGATTGGGCGACGGGCAAATGCAATGCTGAATGTATCGATCTTGAGGTACTGTGCCGAGCGCTGTGCTGTGCTACGCCGTTCTGAACTGCGATGTGCCATGCCGCGATTGTGCTCTATATGGCGTTGTGGATCGAGTCCTTCCTGGCATCCGAGTCCTCAGCGAACTGATCTGGATCTTAAGCTCGAGCTGCCTGCGCAAATGGTAGCTGCCCCAGAACTAATCTACAGAGGGGACATGCCAGGAGGACGCGCCGCGAAGCGTCCCAAGGGACGCGCCAGGCGACGTGCCAGGGAATGTGCCATGCACGAGGGCACGTGCCATGCACGGTGGATCTGGATTGGACGGTCGCCTCCAATCCAGTGAGTATGGGTTGGCTAAAGGCACGGCTGTGTCAGCAGCCTTGTGGGGCGCCAAGGGCCACCCACCCAGTGCTGCTGCAGCCTGGACTACTACGAGGACACGCAGGAGGCAGGCCAGGCACCCTGTTTTGCTTGTCTGCTGTTCTATTGCATTTGATATGTATCTCGATTATTTGAGATATGTATCTTGATTGACCCGAAGTGAACCTCTCTATCAAGATGCTCCTGCAGATGGGCGTTGCGACTAAAGATGGGATGGCTGAGGTTGTGCGTATTCAAAACACTCATACTGCCCAACTTAGTGCTCAGAAGCAGTCCATTACCCCGTTCTCTGAGAGACAGGATAAATTAGAGAGTCTCGTTGCCACATCGGGGACTTCTTCGAATGCAGGCTCAGGAGGATCAGAAGCAGGCTCAGGAGGAAGTACGGGGGGAACGACGGCAGCAGAGGCAGCAAGGAGGATGTGGCGACCATGTTATCTTGAGGTCAAAGGGTGGGTTACCAATTGGCGTGATCCAGGAGTGAGGCGTGACGAAATGCTGACCTACGATGACGCTTCCACTTTGATGAATACTAGTACTGCACTTCTTAGTGAAGATGATCGTGCTTTGATCGATGCGGACAGATCTGACAAGATGAACGCTGGAAGAGTCTGATTTGGGGATGTGAAGATGGGGGCGCGACCAGGGACTGACAGTGATGTACTCTGGGGGTGGACGAAGTTTCTTCGAATGATGACGGTTCCATGTGACAAACGACCACCGCCACCACCAGGCCTGCCACCGACACCACCGCCAGGGGCACTCACGGCCAACATGAACCAGAAGATTGATCCTACAAAGCTGAGGTTTGTGATAGACTGTGCGCCATGGAAGCGCCCGCACGTCGAAGGTGTTGCTCGATTCATGGCTATTCTCAGGTCGTTGGTGACATCGGCTGGACAGGGCAGTGCAGCACCTACTGTACAGCTACGCTCAGAGCTGGGGCCCCCGATTTCGACAGTATTTGTGACGCCACCCAACACAGGCAGACCCTATGCACTTGCGGAGTTCGGAGGAACGACATGGCAGGTGTGGGAGGACTCTTGGCGTAGGATGCAGCAGGATTTCAGCACGCAGATCACATCAGAACAGTCGCTTGCAGAGTATGACAGACAGTGACGACGACAGTCTAGGTCATTTCGTATCTCTGTGAGCTCATGGAACATCCAACGGGCGGGTATACGCAACTATCGTCCACATGAAACGGTTGATATGCTTAGGACCAATCGGATAGGGATCTGTGCGGTGGAGGAGGGACAGCATCTCATACTCGATGAATGCAAACGTTGAGGCTACGCTGCATTCGCTTCTCGCGACGGGAAGGCGCCTATTCTGATGGATTCTAGGTGGAAGTGAGGAGATGTAATTAACAGACATGCCAGATTTGTGATTGCAGTGCTTGGAAAGCACTCGGGTCCTATTAGATTTGCTAGCGCGTACTTGCCTGATGAAGGTGTGCAAGGATGTGAGACGATTGTGGATATTACTCTGTCAGAGCTTACACGGGAAATCAGAGTGTGTTGCTCACGTTTTAAATCTCTGGGTGTTGTGGTGTGTGCTGATGTGAATGTGGAGCTTCCTGGACACGTTAGGGGAGATTTCAAGGGGGTCAATTACGCGATTACGGGAGGAGGAGTGGAGGGGATCATGGATTGCACCATTGAGGGATCTAAAGCTAGGAGGAGGGTAAGGACTAAGACGGAAACTAGGAGGAGGGCACTGGGCTTTATGCAGGAGTTTGGGTTGCGTGCAGCAAACACGTTTCAGGAGAGGAAGGGGGACCTGGCAGAGCTACGACAGACCACGGGATCGGGTGCCCAGTGAGACCAGAGTACTGGATTACATCATGATGCCTCTGCGATGGGACATTGCTGAGGTGTCAGTTCAGTTTCAGTTTCACTATGACGGCAGATTGCTGACGAGCAGACTGAGCGATCATGCTCTTGTTCGTGTGAAGGCGACTGACCTCGGAGCTCCTGATCGTGCATGGAACCCGTGCAACTCAAAGAGAAGGCCCCTGATGGGCTGGATTCCTGCGAGAAGGCCCCTGATGAGCACAATGTGATGACCCTATAGTGGATGGGGGGAGGATGGTGATGAGGACTGAAAGGGAGGACGGGGCGCCTAATGTGACGATGGATTCCAGGGTTACGGTGGACGTTACGACGGCTTGCGATGGTGGGGGTATTGGATGTGGTTTTCTCTGGACCCTGACTGTTTGGCCGATCGTACAGTCAAAAGTTTCACGGACAACATCGATTTTGAAACATCCAGGCCTACCACCAGGGCCCCCGTTAGACCCAAAGGACTCCAACCTCTGCTAGAGATGCGCAGGACTAGGCCTGACGGTCCTGAGCGACGGTTACTCACGCGACGTTTGAACGTTCTCAGGCGCTAGTACCGCAGAGCACTCCTGGAGTGGGACGTGCCACCGGTTCGCAGAAGAGTACGTCATGCGCTACAGAACTTGGGAGGGACGGAGGACAGGGAACAGAGGGAACGGATAATACTACACAACGCGTGCGAGACCAGCTTTTCCAGTCAAGCAGTGCGTGCTGCCAACCACCATCTTCTGCAAGATATGGTGCGGCAGGCCAGCAATTTGCCCAAGCACCAACTCCCATGTCATGCCGTGCCTCGGGCACGGGCTAGACTCCGTTCGGCAAGGGCGGACCAGACGGTATGCCGACAGAAATGCGTGGCCTTCCTTGAGGCGGATCT